ATGCACTGATTTTATTGTTTATTTCTTTCGATATTTTGAATAATGATTTGTGAATGCGTACAAGATTTTCGCGTGGAGGGATTCCTCACTAAAACTGTTTGTGATTCAATTTCATGTTTCCTTTTACTACAAATTCGTGATTTTTTTTTTGACAGAGTTTTTGGAACCTTACGTTTGACTTTTGCTGGATATCGGTGGCACAATCATTTTTAAATATTTTTTTTATTTTTTTTTTTACCAGAAGAGCGCTTAATGAAACTTTCAAAACTAGTTTCTTTTTTATAAAGCACATGTTTTCTAGCCTAGAGAACCAGTTTTTATACAACAAAAAAATTTGCTTGATTGCGTTACTCGCTCATTATTAGACTAAAATTTATACCATTTTTTTCAGGGGACAATTTTTTGTAAGTTTATTTAGGTCTCGTATCACAATTAAAAGTGTTTAATATGATATATCACTCGACCGATTCCAATGATTGTTAGTATACCTGATTTTTTTGTGGAAAAAGAAACAAAACTGAAACACACTATAATATAAGGGTCTGGAAAAAAAGTAGTAACATTCCGAATAATTTAAATTTGGCAAAAAAAAATTTTTTTCCGTCTTAAGTTTATAATTTTTTTTTATTTATTTTATCAATTTGGCTCTTTTATCACTCCACCACATCTATTTGAAAAATTTGAGACAACTTTTCTTTTACAAACTCAGGATTTGATTTTTTTCGAGTAATTTGAATCAGCACTGCTAACCACCTCGTAAAATCAATTGTGTCACAGAAAGTTTTTTAACAATAACGGGCGGTAGAAAATCACTCAATGCCTTCAGATCTTTGATGACTATTACTCCTCTTTCCAGACACTTTTCCCGTCTCCTCCTATCTTTCTTGGGATGAACCACCTTTCTTTCTCGCCTATCTTCTGCTCAAGGTACCTCTATTCGTTCAATTCAATTCAAACTGGGGGCTATTGTTCTGTGCGATGAACCGATTGCGCAAAAAATCTCCAGCAACCAGTGCCATTCCAAATGTCCAAAATGCACTGATTATATTGTTTATTTCTTTCGAATTTTTGAATAACAATTTCTGATTGCGTACAAGATTTTCGCGTAGAGGA